GGACTAGTTGCTCCGGTTCCCAATCCGTGTGGTCTGTGCAGTTTTTTTTTTTTTTTTCCTTTTTGTCTTTTTTCGTGACCGGCAACGGATCGCAACCCTCAGTGTCGCGCCCATACCGGACCGGGACCGGCAACCGGATTGCAACCCTCGGCGTTGCACCCACACCTCGCTCAGCCAGTGAGTGGCCGGTCTATATGTGGGATCCGAACCCTCCCCGGGAGCACCTCGGCGCTCCCAAGCGGCGCACTGTAGCAGTGCACCACCGGGCCGGCCCAAGGTCTGTGCAGTTTGGGGGCAGGGGTTCTTTTCTTTTTTTATAATGCATTTCCTTAGTAAGTTCACTTTTCTCTCAGTCCCTGCTTCAAACCTATGAATTATTCTACTGTCTTTATACAAACTAACCTTTCTGTCTTCAAGGAATGTCTATATTCTAATTCTCGTGTATTTATAATATCTCTGTTAGCCCAGGTGCTGTGTCCTTTCTGCACCGTCTTATATTGGTAGTGTCCCGTTAAGAAACAGAGCCGGAGAAGGGACGAGAGAGAGAGAAAGGCTGTAACCGAAGAGTGGCCGCCCCCTGGCTGGAAGCATGTCTGGCTGTGTGTGGGGGGCGCTGGGGGAGGGGGGGTAATGTTCTTCGAAATTCAGTGTTGTAGAAAAGGAGACACTCATTGACTAAAGCAGTTTATTTAAGAAGTGTTGGTATTTTCCCCAAAAAATATTTTTATGGAAAAGTGACCTTGAGTTGACCAAAGTACTGCACAGACTTTTTTCCTCCCCTCTGAGCTTCTCAAAATACCGGAGGCTCTACTGCGCCTATCACTGTTTCACAGAGCAAAAATAAAAGCATTGTCAGGGAGCATTGTCATGGGATTAAAGTTTCTTGTTCTGAAAATAGACGTTCGTTTTGCTTTGATAGCTATTTTCTCTAACCACCCGGGTTTTACTCAAGCATTCTTATAGTGGCCAGGGACAGAGATAAGATTTCATTCCATCAGCACCTCTTTCAGAGTTCCTCACCTGAATAAAATATGTGTGCCCTTAATGCCAACAGAAGCATTTGGGCAGGTCCAGGAAGTTCCTCACATGCCATGAAGTGGAATTCATCGTGTCTGTCTTCCAGAAATGACACATGAAAAACTTGGAGGAGGGCAGTGAGTGCATTGCTCACTAGATTACTAAGAGGTCAGAGAGAAAGTGATCTACCAAGAACTCTTCTGGAATTAAAGCAAGAGTCTAGGCTCAAGTCGTGATAGTGATTATTCCTCATGGCCCATGTAGGTGACAGCTGATTCATTTGGGGTCAGGTGGGCTCCACGCTTGTGCACACAGGCACCCCCACCGTGGCAAGGACACACACATCAAAGGCGGCTCTGGACCCAGACTCTGCAGCTTCCACTGGACAGATAGGGAAGCCATCCCTGGGCATGAGTCATGTTTTTCCTTTGAAGAGATGTTTCCCAGCTGCATGGAATGGAACGTGTGACATTTGCCATGACAAAAGAATAAACCCTTTGAGAAATTTGGGCACTTTCATTTCTGTTTCTCTCTTTCCCTCTGCAAAACTTTTTTTTCCTGAATTATTTTCCATATTCTTTTCCAAAGTGTTAATCTCTCTCTCCTCTCTCCTGGTCTCCCAGATGAACAGATTTTACAAGGAATAAATCCTGGTTGTAGCTTTGCCACTTACCAAGTGCCCGTTTAGTTACTAAACACCCACAAACTGCACAGCCATATCTGTTAGTATCATGTGGCTCACACAGCTCGGCTGTGCAGGACAGTGCAGGCAGCTGGGCTGACCCAGGTGACCTGGGAGACTTTGGACAGCCCCTGTCAGTGCCTCAGTTTCCTCATGGAGGGAGAGGAGAGGGCGGGCAGGTTGTGCCCTTTTGCTCCTGGCAGCCCTGAGCAGGCTTAGTAGCAGAGAGCCAGGTTTGTTCTGGAGCCTGCCTCACTGGCTCAGCTTCAGGCCTGACCTTGATGCCAAGTTCAGGATCACACCAAAGTCAATCTCAGTCCCCAGATGGGGCAGTACTGACCCCTAGCTCTCCTTGGCCAGGTGAAGCCCATGGGGATCTGTGCTGGCTCAGACCTCACTGCCATCTGAGGCTGATTTTTCCATGTCCTCTTTCATGAGAAATGCACCACATGTTTTCTTGCAAGGGCCAGAAAAGCATTTTTCAGTGCTTCTTGGCAGCACACGTTGAAGCTCTTTGGCTCCCTTGGGCCTTAGCGAATGGAAGGAGGGTGGAGCTGACAGGCCTGCTGGCCACGGCTTCCCAGCAGAGGAAAACTGTTTGTGGTCTTCAGTGTCCCCAATTACTCCCTGGTCAGCCAACAGGGTCCTGCTATCCCTGGCCCTGCAGCCCAGTCCTTTCCCCAACAGTCTCATAACCATTCCCCCTCCTGGCTGCAGTACTTGTTCCAAAGGGAAAACGAGAGATTGGGAGGTTAATATAAACCTGTCTTATGACTCATGTACTTCTCTTAAATGTAAAAGCTAAACGGCCTATACCGGGGCTGTCCATTAGAATTATCTGGGGAGCTTTAAAAAAATACCAACACTCTGGTCCCATCCCAGAGCAGTTAATTTAGAATTTCTGGGGATGGGGGACTGCATCACAGTTTTTTAAAAGCTCATTTATGTGCCTCCAATGAAGAACAACTAAGATCCTAAAGCCATCCAGTTGGCAATGCTAATTGCTTGTTGGGTTAATAATGATCTTCTGCATTAATTAGACTTAGCAGTGTAGGAAAGTCCTGGGCTGGTATGGTCATGAAATTCAAGTGCACCTGGGAAAATGGAGTTGTCCAATTGTTTGCCATCAGTGGCAGTCAGTATACACATCGTTAACCAATGACTACCTTTTAGAGATATTGCCCAACCTTCGTATTGAGTATGCAGCCGGGAATGGGTTTCTGTTGATTCATCTGAATCAGTGATTCCCTGTTTCAATGAGCAAAACAGACTGCTTGGACCGTTGACTTGCAGGGCTTCTGACTCGGTGGGTGGTGTGAAGTCTGAGAACCTGAATTTTTAACAAGAGCCCCACATGGTTCTGATGCAGGTGGACTGAAAGCCACATTTTGGAAATCTTGTTTATGCTGCCTTCTTATCTCCTGCAAAGATAGTGTTTCCAAAGGAATCACAGCTCTTGGGAAGGGAGCTGCTCCTCCCGCAGCATTCCCAGAGGGCTGCCAAGTGGCTTGGTATTCCCATGGTTTTAAAATGTCTTGAGTGATAAATAAAATAAAACGTGCTGGTATCTGGCAGAGTGAGTCCGCTCCCTCCTTCTTCTACAAAATTGTCTTGATTATTCTTGACCCTTTTTCTCTCTTTGACTTTTAGAGTCAGCTTGCCAAATTCTCAGAGAAATCTTACTGGGATTTCAGTTGAAATTGCACTGACTTTATAGATTAATTTGGGGGAATTTTCCATGACCTTACAGACTCGATGTATTCCAAGTGTCTTCTAAGCATAAAACATCGGTGAAAGTGTCACATTATCAGTCCTGACACCAGGAAGCTCAGGCAAGTAACCTGGTCATCAAATCCATCTCTTTCACTTTACAAAGAACCAGGCAGGGGGGAATAATTTGCACAAGGTCACTGGTTGGGGACTAAGTTGGACCAAGTCAACTTCCTCCCGCCTTTTTAAGGAAATCTGCTGGGGGAACTCTTCCACCTTCAGATCTGGTGAACCATGCTACTGAGCCGTCTTGTCTCCACTGCCACGTTTCAGGACTTGCTGGCTTCCAGTCAGGATCAGAGAAGGTGTCTCCCCACACTTTGTTCCTGGGGTTGGGGTCTTTCATGTACTGTGAAAGAAACAATCATACTTGGCCTTTGCTACTTTGGAATTAATTTCATGTTTTCCAAATCGGAGGGCAAGCCAAATCGAGGAGCTTGTATCAGTAAATGCCCAGCTATGCTTGGGTACCAGACAGAGAGCACATCAGGTGGCCTGTCCTCCCCGGCATGCCCTCATCGTTTTCCCAGCTCAGCTTGGAGTGCTGTGGATTGTTTCCTACCACGTCCGGGCCCAGGGTCAGCGCTCTTTTTCTGTCTGTGCATTCCTCTGGAGAGGTTTCCTCACCTCTAATCGGGGACGAGGCGTCTTTTGTTCTTGGATTAAGCCGCCAGCTGTCCCTCACTCAAGCCAAGCTGCAGCCGCGGGGACACTTCTGAGATCCCGTGGGAGGGGACAGCTTGGTGTGTTGGAGGCAGGTACCTGTGCTGGTACAAGGCCGCAGGCAGGGCCCCTCCTCAGCCGCCTTGCCGGGTTTGGTAACGGGAGAGGTTCCCACTGGCGTTTCCTGCTCTTCCCTTTCCGTGGCAGCTTTCTTTAACCAAAAAGCACTGCTAGCTGATGACTTCTCTGGCGGGAGGGACTCTAGCTGCGCCTGCCCGGCTGCACCGGGGCCGGGCTTTTCGCGAGACCTCTTCCATGCCCCGCCCTCGTGCTGCCAGGAACTTCTCTCGTCTCTCAGGGGCAGCGACCCGGGCGGCGGGCTGCGGTGCGTGTCGTGTCCCTGCCCCCAGTAGCATTTCTACTGTAAGAGAAACCACCTGGTCCTAACACTACACTCTGAAAACCGCCCATCTGCCTGCCTCTTATATGTCCTGCGGCCCAGGCGACCTGGGGAAGGACGGGGTCTCTGTGTCACAGGCCTCAGCCCACAGGTGTCCCTGCGCTGGTGGAAGTGTCCGCCCCAGCCGCTGCAGGGCGGGGGTGGACGTCTTTACCATCAGGCATCCTGTCGACTGTCGGTTCCACCTGCAAAAGATCAGGGCTCTGGTCGTCCCTGAAGACCCACAGGATGAGGAGGCCTAACTTGCCACCTGCATTCCAGCCACAGAAGGACAGATCCCAGATGATTAGAGTCGAAAGGGACCATCGATGCCCTCAGATAACATCACGTTACGGATGAGGGAACTGAGTCAAGAGGCCCCTGCACTGCCCCCGGCCCCTGTCATTTCTGCCCCATGCTGCCATCAGGATGGCCTTGCGTGGGTCCCTGGATGCAGAACGCCAGCCCCGGGCTCCTCAGCAGATCTCCATCCTGCTGCATGTGCATGTGAGCACACGCCCACACTTTCACACACACTCATACTCAGCTCGCTCACATTCACACGCTCCACTCACGCTGACACGCTCACACATGCCTGCTCACATGCTCACGAGCCCACATGTTCACACATACACTTGCACTCACACATCACTCCAGCCAGAGTGGGGTGGTGGGCTTTCTGGCCGAGGTGCATATTGCTGCTTTCTGCTTGGACTCCCTCACCCTCACTTACTTAGTAACCTCCTCTCTGACGCCCCTGGGGCAGTGTCTATGTACCGGGCACCACAGGGTGCTGGTGACCCTGGCCTGTCTTGCTTGCCCACTCCGGGAGGGCAGTGGCCACATGGTAGTGGACGCCTCCACAGGAGCTTCAGGATGCACCCAGTTAGTGCTCACCCGTCCCGCCACTGCCTGGTTCGAGGGCGCTCAGCAACCTCCTTGGTACTCGGCAGTTTTCATCAGTGTGCACATCTCTAAAAGATAAGGACTCTGTTCAACAAAACCACAGTAGCACGGACACACCTCGAGTTAGATTGGAGATAACATAAATCCTAACTGGGTAGGGTTAATACTACCTTATTATCGAGTTCTGTGTTAAGTCAGGTTCAAACTTCCCTGACTGTCCCATAAGTGATTTTTTTAACTTAAACATTTTTTTTCTTTTTTTTGTTTTATTTTTAACTCTTCACCTTGAAATCATTTCAGACTAACAAGGAATTCACATCTACCCTACCCAGGTTCCCCAAATGTCAACATCGTAAGTCAGAAGGATCATGATCAAGACATGAATATTGAAATGATACAATCATCCAATCCACAGAGTAAAGCAAAGTTTCCTGCCAGGGGCCAACCCAGCTCACCCATGGCCTCAGGTGGTCAGCTGTTTTCTGGAATGTCCCTCAGTTTGGGTCTGATGCATTTTTTAAGTGACCATATAAATTGACCATCTAGATGGAGACATTGGGAGTGAGAGGGGCTTAGGGCCAGCGCCTGGGGTCTGTGTCCCTCTGATCAGGTCCCTTCTCTCTTGTGTTTCTCCTGGAACACAACTCCGTGGAGTTTCCCTGTGTTCTGTATTTTCTGGGTCACATTCTCACTGTGTTGCTTACCACGTCCCTCCATCCCTACATTTCCTGTAAACTGGCTCCTCAGCTTCAAGTCCAGCCCCCTCAGGCCTTTCCCAACCTTCCTGGCCCCTGGGACCCACCAGCCCTGGCAGCCTCCACAAGCTTCTCGCCCTCAACAGTGGGAGTGCCCTTGGTGTCCTCTGCCTCTATTTGTTCTCCCTCCACATGCTCTCCTGAATTATCTTCTTTAACCACTGTCTATGCTAATGATTCAAAACTCCCTCCTGGGCTCCAGACCACCTAAACCCTGTATTTGAGGGATCTTCCCAAAATTCCATCTGATCAGGTCCTTTCCCTTTTTAACATCCTTCCACTGCCTTCAGGGTCAAATCTGAATTTATGATTGTGAATGTGAGGCCTTCACCCTCCAGCCTCTCCGGTCTCTCCAGCCTCTCCAGCCTCTTGCTTCCTGACTGTGACACGTCCCCTTGGCCCTATGCCTTGACTTCTGCCCCAGATGCCCTTTCTGTCTTCTTCACCTGGATAAATCTTCCCAGGAAGGATTCCTCACTGCCATAGGCAGGTGGTCTCTCTGTGTTTATTTCTACACTTACCCCTCATAGTGAGTCCTTGGGTAGGAGATAGGTGTTTATAGGTCTCTATAGCCGCGCTACCTGAGAGAGCATTCAGATTTTGTTGGATAAATGTTAAGCATGATTGGAGATACCATAAATCCTAACTATGTAGGATTTCCTTTTTCCTTCACATGTTAAATTAGGGCCTTACACTGACCTCAGGGTATGAGGACAGGAAGCCAATGCTGTCTGGGCTCCAACCCCAGCTCACCAGCTCTTGAGCACTGCATCTGGGAAAGCGTGCTGCCAGTCAAAGCAGGGCCCTCACCCTTCCCCTCCGGGGAGACAGACCACATGGAGCCCACATGTCATGAGAACATGGAGAAAGAGGAGGTTGAGTTTGACTGGGGACATTTGAAAACTCTTATGGTAATGACTTGAATTGGATCTTAGAATGTGGTGAGACTTCACTGGGTTGATATGGGCATTGGGAAGAGGGTGTCCTGAGCCAAGCCTGGCTGTGGGGCATGCAGGACATCCCACCTGAGCTGCCTGGGGTGGAGGACACATGAGGGAGGAGACGGTGACAGGGCTGCAGAAAAAGCAGGTAGGAAGAACCAAACATAGAGGCCTTAGAAGGCAAAGCAAAGGAGTACGGGGCTTTTCCTGATGTGAATCCCGCAGTCACAAAAACAAGGGTGTGCTGGGAACCTGGGGCTCAGTACACCTGAGAGGCAGGACAAGGCCCCACAGAGGAGCCGACAGCGTTGGAAATGTGAGGGCGGGCGCTTCCTCAGTCCTGCGAGGGTGCAGCTCATGCTTCACAAGCCCCTGCCAGCAGAGCTGAGGCTCCTGGTGTGGAGATTTCACCCATGCGTGAGCACACACTTGCTGTCCTGATAATGGCCAACGTGAGCCAGGGTGACAGCGCACGCACACCTCAGGTTCCGGCTTTGGAAACTTTCAGGCACATTTCCTTTTGTTTCTCATGGAGCTCAGAGACCCCATTGGGTTCCTCCCAGGCTGGCGTGTTGTGGGCCTGCAATGTGTGTTGGTTGCTTGAGAGGTCAGAGAGGCCATGGCTGTGGTTCTGAGATTTTAGGGTCTCTAGAGTCCCACCCCAGAAGAAGGAGATCCTCAGAAGAGGATTGCTTGTGTTTTAAAAGGGCAGATGAATGGAAATGAGAAGTGGGGTCATGGCCGTCCCATGAGAAATGGAGACAATGCTTTCCTCTGCAAGGGGACATTCTGAGGGGTTCTGGGTTCCTTTAAGGACCTGCCGGCTTTGTGGGGGGTGTGCAAGTTGGCATGGAGAGGGCAGGGGGTGCTTTTGCCTCCTCCCAGGGAGCTGCCTGGCCCTGCCATGCTCCCGCCCTCCCCCTGCCTCCAGCACTGTGGTCTGTTCTGGAGGTGTTGACACTTGGTTCTTAGCATCTGACCAGAAAAAAGGGAGACTTGGAGGAGGATAAAATTGATCAACTTTAAGCCATCATTCACTTTTCAAATATCCCAGGCTGGCCAGTCCCGCCCTCCCACAGTGCAGCTTGGGCCCCTTCACAGAGGAAGGCACGACCCTGACAGACAGATGGACACGACCTGCCTTGTGGCCTTCTGCACGGGTGTCCCACAGCTGCCTTTGCTTGTGGCTCTGTGGCCAGTTGGCTAGTGTGTCTCCTCCTGGCACACAGGCCAGCCTTCCTCACCTGTCCTGGAGACCAGCATGGGCAGCCATCCCGGCAGACATGGCCCCATCTGGGGCTGCAGAACCTGGCGGCTGGAGACCGTATGGGGCCAGTCACAGAGGTGGCCCCTAAGGGCTGGAGTTCCAGGCCCCAGGCACAGTGTCTCCATGTCTTGTTCCATTCTAGTGGACACCTGTGCTCACCTGTCAGTGCACATGCAGGTGGCATATTTTATTTTTCTACTTACACTAGTGCAGACTCTGGCAGTAGTTTTAGGGACTGGCCCAACGACAGCTGTCCACGCTGTCTTCACCATTTAAAATGTAAGGAAGTTCTGTGGTCTGTGTTGGCTCGGGCCCTCGGTGGACACTGGGATAGGATGAAAGGCAGGCCCACGCTTTCCTCGTTCCACTCAGCAGTGATCTAACAGCTTATTCACTCCGCACTTCCTGGTCTCTGGCGCAAACCTCCTTTAGAAGCGGTCCCTTCTCTGCAGCAGTGGGCCCCGCTGTCCCCGGAGCACGCCCCAACCCTGCTCTCTCCCTGCAGAATCTCCTACGACCCAGCGCGGTTCCCCCGCTACCTGCCCGAGGCCTACTGCCTGTGCCGCGGCTGCCTGACCGGGCTGTTCGGCGAGGAGGACCTGCGCTTCCGCAGCGCCCCGGTCTACATGCCCGCCGCTGTGCTGCGCCGCACCCCGGCCTGCGTGGGCGGCCGCGCCGTCTACACCGAGCACTACGTCACCATCGCGGTGGGCTGCACCTGCGTCCCCCAGCAGGACAAGGACGCGCACAGCATCAACTCCAGCATCGACAAGCAGGGTGCCAAGCTCCTGCTCGGCCCCAACGGCGAGCCGGCCCGCCCCTGAGGCCGTGTCGCGGGGCCCTGTCCCCGGAGTGCGTCTGCGGGGCCCGGGGCGGCTGTCGGCCCCGTGGGAAGAGAGCGAACTGAGACCCGGGCGGGAGCAGCAGGCGGGTCCCGAGGCTTACAGGCCGCAGGGACGGAGTCGCGGACAGCTGCGGGGACAGGCGGGCCCGGCCCCGCGTGTGGCCGCCTGGGAGCTGCGGGGTGCTGGGCGGCCCCACGGCAGGTGCCCCAGAGAGGGGATAGACATATGCTTAAAACAATTCCTAGGAAAGTGCAGAGAGGCTGTACACCTGCTTTTTTACTCAACTGTTTCGAATTAGGGCAGAAACTATTTTTTACATCAGCGAGTTAAAGCGACCATATTAGAAAATTTTACTTGCCCTACACGCCATTTCTGAACATTCAGTCTTCACTTCCTCTGGTAGGACTTTTTAGAAGCGTGACTGGAATCCTCAGACACGCTCTTCTGAGCCGGACGGCGCAGGGTCGCTGCGTCAGCCTCTAGCGGTGGCTGAGGACGGTGCGGTGGACGCTCGACCCTCCACCCAGGGTCTCCGCAAGCCCAGATGGACCGCGAGGATGCACAGGAGGCGCACAGGACCCCAGAACGAGCTGAGAATTCCAGGAACCTCAAACTCGCTTTTATTCATGAGTACGTGGATGGTCTCAGACTTACACAATTTACATTTGTTTTTTCACTTTTGAAAGTCAATGGGGCCAATTTGTGGATACGAGGTGGTGAGATAAGATGACAGGTGGAATACATCTTATCTCCAGTTCGCAGGAAGAATCCCAGCAAGTATTGGCTTATTAGTTTTAAGGGCTCGAGGATTGGGCCAAATAGGAGAAAGTGGACCAAATCAGACTTTCCAGAGGTCAACGTCGAGGCCTCTTTTTCTCCATACTGCAATGTGAGCTAAAGCCTTCCTCTTTAGGTTGAAAATCTGTCCTTAACACAATTATTTGTAAAAGGTAGAAGTGCTTTTTTTTTTTTTTTAATCATTAAAACTGTTATAAATGAAGAATACGTTAGCTATGTGCATTTCTCTCTGGATTCTGCTTGGATGGGCTGGACTGGTTTTTAGAGGTAACAATATGTTAACCGAGGTCGTCTTAACTTTATGGCTGAGGTTTAAATTAATCAAGATTTGATTTGCCCATAGAAAGATCATCTAGTCATGTGAAGTCCATCTCTTTGATCTTTTGTGACATCCTCATCCAAGACCAAGAAGTGCCTTTCATTTGTGTGTGTTTCACTTCCAAGCATCAACGTCTGCTGAAATAACAGAACACTGGCTTCCCTACGCCATCATCCATCAGTCACTCAGAGAACTTTCAACTCCTACTAAACAGTAGCAAAAATTGTGCATGAAAAACACATCACTCAGCAAAATCCAGATTGTTCAAATAAAAAATTGAAAATTGAAAGCAATAACTGGTTAGTTCTGTAGAGTTTGGGAAATTTTACTTCCCTGTTCAATCTCTGGAGGAAAACAAATGGTACCCCTGCTGGTGGTATGTCTAGAATACACTCTTGTCCAGAGACAGGAGGTTTAGAGCAACGACCCCCAAAATCCATAAATTGAAAAGAAAAACTGCCTTTCAAACCAGCCATTTGGCTAATTGTTTGTCATCACTACTGTTGTGTGAACATTTTCCAGGCCACTCCCCAAATGTAAATAGTGCAAGCATCAGAGGAGGGTGGACTCAGGAGAGTCAACTATTTGCCTGGGGGAAATATCACTGTTTTATTCATTGTATTAATGGCTAGTTTAACAACCTCAGCTTGTTAAAATGTGGCACATTCCCAGTAGAAGAAATTAGCTTTCCATTCTAAAGTCTAGAAAGGCAACATTGATGTGTGTTTTTTTCTCTGAATGGAATATTCATCCATTTAGTAAATACCTATTGAGCACCTGCCTGGTTCCAGTCACCGAGCTCCTGGGAGACAACTTTGGACAAGGTGCAAACTTAAGCAAATAAAATGCACTAGCAGCCAGCACAGAACTAGGCTGACCCACACCAGGTCCTCACGCCCAGGAAGTGCTGCCTGGCCAATCCGCTCCTTTGCCTCACTCAGCTACGTCTTCTTCACTGGTTAATGAGGTTGCAGCGCCCGCCTCGCAGAGTCCGTCTGAGGATCAAATGCTGTTAGTAAAGCACCTGGCAGTGCCTGGAAACACATTGGCCCCAGTCATTTATAAGCTGCATTTAAATATCAAGCTAAGCCTTCTGACTTAATGTTGATTGCTTTAGCAGCTACTGTCATTTAGAAGTGACTCTTTTTGTATAAAAGATAAGTTTAAAATGAAATCTGTAGGACCTTCACTTGGCAGCAACCAACAGATATACTATGTTGAAATTAGAGGTGGTGACGCTGTTTCAATGAATAGAGTTTACTGAGACAGAATTTGGTTCTCTTGTTAAAACTAAAGGCTTGGGGGGGTTGGTGTTGTGTTTTATCAAACAAACAAGGACATTTGCTGGCTAGAGAAATTATGCCAAAGCCCTTGCCCCTCCCACCCCCACCCCCACCCTGTCCCCAGTCCCACATGGCTTCTCACCTGGTGCAGGAGCTGCGGGGCTCCCTCCACCGTCCACTCCCGGGCTCTGCACATTTCAGGACTTCTCCTCCCAGGAAACTGCCAGACTGTGTGTTTGCTTCAAATAAATTCTATCTTGAGGATTCTGTGGCAACCCTTGGAATGGAGGTACTTGGCTGGTTAGTGAAGATTTTTTCAGCTAGGATGCTTGTTCTATAAAAATGGATTCATCTGGAAATAGCAATCCAAAAACATTCTGCAAATACCAACAGTTGCACATTCAGGGGCTGGTTACCCACACTTCTCCTTTTGTGGCATCTCTTTCAGCTGGGCAAAGGGAGTAAAATAGTAATTTTTAGTAACTGGCTCCAGCTCTGATTTGAGAAAGGAATGGACAGGGGAGGAGTACGGAGTTCCCGTCTGAAATGGGGTGATCTGCTCTGGTTGTCCGGGTGCCCCTCACCCCCAAACACAGCTGAATATTCACAGGAAACTGAAATTATTACCCTGTCATTCCCACTCATGGGATGACTACTTGGTCTCAGTGCAAATCGCTGAATCAGGAAGGACTCACAAAGATGTCTGCTAAATTATTCTTTCCAGCCTCTGAAGGCCTTTGGTGAAGGGTGAGAGGCGAGGCAGCCCCAAGAGAGCTTGTGAAGTTTGGGCCACGGCCATGGCCACGAGGAGCACAGACCCACCAGGGCATCCACTTCCTCAACCTTCTCCCCAGCGCCTCCAGGGAACACACCAGGCATAAGAAGTGTTTTTACAGGTAGAACTGCAGACCTTTTATGAAATCCAGAAGTGGATCATATATAAACACAGATTTGCTAAAATCAAAATCATGTGGGGGGATGGGGGAGGGGCAAAGCCATGAACACACGTTGGCTGTTTACTAAATAAAATGCCCACCTGGTCTCATGAGCCTCCTCCCTTAAGATCTGCCTCAAGTTTTCATGAGTCATGCCGTTTTCCTCCCTCCTCCACCCCCCATGAAGAAATAAGGTTTCTCTTCACCTAAATGCTACATTTACAGGACAACTAAAATGCTGTTATTTTCAGGCTGCTACTCTCCCACAACTCCGAAATCAAGCATTACATTTCTATACATAATTTGTTACTGGCCTAGGTAATTTTTAGCAAACCGATTCATAAGGAAATAATTAGGTAGGGGGTGTTTTTTAAAGAACAATCATTTATTGAACACTTAACGTGCCAGGTGCTGGTACACGGATAAAAATATGAATGACTCATAAACAGTGATTTTTAAAGAAAATTAAAGTGTCCAGAAGTATGACTGCAGTAGAAAAGAGCATGTCTCCCTGGTATCCTAAGCATGACTTCCTCCCAGAGAGAAAGTGTTAATTTTTTTGGAACGTTTTTATTTTTAAATGATTGTAGATTCCCACGAAATTGCAAAAATACTAGAGCGGTCTTATATACCCTTTACCCAATTTCCCCCGTGGTAACATCTTACATAACTATAGTACAATGTCACAACCAGGAAACTGACACCAGTACAACCCACAGACCCCATTCAGAGTTCACCAGTTTTACACGCACTCATTTTTGTGTGTTTAATCCTGTGTAATGCTGTACACCTGTAGATTCATGAACCCACCACCACAGAAGACACACAACATGCCAGTACCACAGAGACCTCCCCATGTGGCCGCATCCATCCCCCTCACCCCATCCCACACTGACCCCTGCCAACCACCATCCTCCATTCAAGAATGTCCTCATATGACTGGAAACATATAGGATGCGACCTTTGGGGGTGGTTGTTCTCACTCAGCAGGCTGCCCCTGAGATCCATCCAGTTTGTGTGCATCGATCGTCTGTTCCTGTGGGTTGCTACATAGTCTTCAGCGGTATGAATGTATGATGAGTATTTTTTGAACACTAAGCATCTAGCACACTCCAGGCTCCTTGGTTTTGGTTGTGGTCTTTGCTTTACAGGTGGCACTTTCATTTTCTCAGGCAGTTCAGAAGGAGGGTACTGAGACTGGGCCACATGCAGGGGGCATGTGGGCTACATTCCTGTCATCCCTCAGAACTAAGGAGGAGAAACCCAAGAGGTGCTCAGCCACTAGCTCCTTGGACTATGAATTTATTCTGTGGAGGCCAGTCATGTCTCCTAGGGGGGCCGGAGCAGATCAGGAGCCCCTCGGGGGGCCGAAGCAGATCGGGGGCCGAAGCAGATCGGGGGCCCCTCGCAAGTCCTGTCTATTTCAGGAGGCCTTGGGCAAGCTACTAAGCTGTTTGTTTGGTCTTCTGGTTTTTACATACATTAAATGAGGAGACTGGGTTACACAGGTTCTAAAATTTCTTCAACTCTAATTTCATGGATTCAGATCTGCAGGGGACGCCCTCATTAAGGAAAACAATAATGAGAGGTTATTTTGTCCGTTATTTTGAAAATTAGGCCAGGGACAGCCCCAGTTTGCAGAGGGAGGGGAGAAGGTTAAAACTTTTCAATCTACTAAGAAAATTAAAAGGAAATGCCACACAGGGTCCTTTACTATATTGTGATTCCACAGTCTAGCCCAGAATCATAATTCACGTAACAGCAAAATTCGTTGGCCAGGTGACGGGTGTGCTGGGGGGTAAACTTGCACCTCTTCACTCCAAGGAGCTTGGCTGCCTGTTCTTCCATGACGGCACCTGAAGAGATCAGATCAAGGGAATCCAAAGCATGAAGTACCAACCCAGAGCTCGGGGCCCATCGTGAGCAGTGGAGGGGATTCCAGACTAGGGTACGGGCGCAATTAGTTGACAAAACTACTCAACAAATACCGTCGTCCGGGGGATGTCCATCCTTTATATTCCCTTTCACCTTCTCTAACATTTCAAAAAATTGCCTGCTTTTTTCCACTTCTTTTTCACTTAATAAATAATTTTCCTACCTCTGCAAAGCTGCAACACTTAGAAATTTAGAAGTAATCTATATCCCACAAAGGAACATAAGGAAAGCAAAAGTAATTACTAAAAACTAGGGTTTCCTGACATTGAGTCAAGCATCTCTCTCTGGGTAATGCCTGCTCTGGATGGACGCCCCCGATCCACCTTTTGCCACCTCCTCCACACTCGCCCCTGCTGCCTCCACGTCCCTTTCACAGGAGGCCTCCTGCCTATGCCTCTGTCCCCACCAGGCTCTGCTGAAACCCGCTAATCCAAGAGACCTGGCCCACCCAAGGCGACCTGTACCAGCCCGCCTCTCTCTCTTTCATTACACTTATCAGAATTAGTACTTAATATCTTTGGTCTGTTTTGTTGTTTTTTTTTTAACCTATCTCCTAAAACTAAAATGTATACTCCATGAGGTCAGAGGTGTATTTAAGTAAATTGTATTTGTATGAACAAAGAGTGGCATTCTTAACCAAATGAGCAATTCCACAGCACCAAAGAGAAACAGACGCCCTGCAGCTCCAAGGTTCCAGCAGGGTGCTCAGGGCAGAAGCAGCTGAGGGGCTGGGTTTGGACCTGGAAATAGCACCCAAGGCCTGGACACCAGGGGTGCCTGGAAGTGACACCAGTAGGTAACGTTTTAGTTCTCATATTCTACAATATCAAATTTAACTATATCCACCAACTTCACCAGTGAGAAAGCTCTAATGGACCTAATCTAGTGCCTGTATCTGTATCCTTAGGCTCTACAGATTCCATATTTCTCTTTTATCAAGTGTAGAGGCTAGGGCCGGCCCGGTGGCGCACTGGATAGTGCGCCGCTTGGGAAGCGCGGCGGCGCTCCCGCCCGAGGGTTTGGATCCCACATACAGACCGGTTCCCGCTCACTGGCTGAGCGAGGCGCGGGAGCAACGCCAAGGGTTGTGATCCCGTTGCCGGTCCCCGGTCCGGTACGGGGGCAACACTGAGGGTTGCGATCCGTTGCCGGACACGGAAAAAGACAAAAAGACAAAAAAAAAAGTGTAGAGGCTGGATCAAATACTACTACTTCCAAGAATAAGGATGGAAGTAAAAATAGCAGCTAATAAAGCTAATATTGAGCTTTCACTATATGCTGGACCTGTGTTAAGCACTTTATGTGTACGGTGTCACTTAATTCTCAAGGACCCTTAAAGGCATGTGGTATTATCAGTCCTAGTTTACAGATAAGGAAACTGGGGCACAGAGAGGTTAAATAACCTCTTTAAGGTCACACAGTAAGCGGCAGATTTATGATTTGAATTCTAAGACCTCTTCCAACTCTTAAAACCTAAGTTTCTTGAGATCCACTGTCAATGGCTTTCGTGACACTTGAAACATGGCACCTACCTGTGCACAGCAGAATCTTGCCCTGAGTCAGGTACTTGATGGTTTCTGACATTTTTCTGAGACATTCCTCAGAAAGATAGGGAGGATCTGCTATTACGATGTCAAAACTGTGTGCAGCAATTTTTTCGGGTAAATCCAATGGATTATTGTAATCATAGAAGATAAACTCCTCTCCATACATGGCAAATCTTGTGTCATATTCAAAGATGTGTACAGAAAAATCTTCTCTGTGCAGCTCTCTGAGTTTCTGGTAAACACTGGGGGCACTCACACATGCTATTCTAGAATACAAAATGAACACACTCGTGAAAGATCTTTAACGGATAGCTTATGGTATTAAATTACAACTACTTCACTAAAAAATATAGGTCCTTATGTTCCGATTTTCTTAAAGAAAATAATAGTGCAAACTAATGTAACAGTAAATTTTGAGAAAAAATCTTTATACTGGCTCATTTTTAAGGAATGTGTTATTTAAAAATCCATAACTCATAATTTTGAGGTATGAAAGGATAAAAATGTAAAACATCAGGAACATATTATGACAAAAGTTAGATGTAGTTAGCCCAAGGCCTAAATTTACCTATTATTTTCATATTGGACCTTTAATATTTATTTCAAATACTTCTAGCCCCAACTAAATATTTTGAAGTCATTTGTAATATTCATGATCTTGAGAGAAACACCCTAAATAACTCATTTTCCAAAAAGATACATTAAGACGAGGTCTCACTGCAGACATGCTACTTTGAATTTCTGCTTCTTTTTTATGTAAGAAAATTATAAGAATCTATTTCATTTACAAGCAGTCCACAGTTTATGAATAAGTAGTGTTCTTAGAGTTAACTTTTAAAACCAGATTGGGTTGACTATAGTACTTCTGTTACAATGGAATGTTTTGTAGCCATTTTATAAAAGACTGAAGCAGCTCTCTGTATGTTGATAAGAAATGATCTCCAAGATCGGAAGAGTGTAAAATATGCTTTCATGCATGTAGGAAGACTTGCTTATAGATGTACAGGCGACCTCTGGAAGATGCGCAAGAGCCAGTGGCCACGGCTGCCTCGTGGGAGAGGCCTGGGGGACCCAAAGACAGTGGGGAAGAGAGACTGACCTTTCCTCTCAGTTCCCTTTGTAACTTTTGGATTTTTATTATGTGCATATATTGTCATTCAAGACCTTAATTTGAAAATTAAACTCAGCTTTAAAAATGTGAGATGCACCTCTTAACAGAGACACTGTTCCCTGTCCTAGTTAGGTATTATCCATGCCAGGCTAAAAAGGCTTCTCTGCCCAAATACATTTGCAGTGGAGATTAGAGCCTGGTGAGGTCACGTAATGCCTCTACAGGAAGTCTGTGTGTTCTGGCAGGGGAGGGGAGAAAGAGCCCAAGGACAGCGGGACTACATCTTCACTGCACAGAAGGACAGCAAGCAGCAACTGAGGGTTACATGCACACAGTGAAAATATATCTTCTGAGAATGAAGGTGAAATAAAGGTATTTCAGAAAAACAAAATCTGAGAGTTTGCCTCCAGCAGGCCTTCACTGAGGAATTCTACAGGAATCTCTTAGGCAGGACAGTGGACCAAGATGCAAGAAGGAGTGCGAGCAGAGGGGTGGGTGGGTCGGCGCGGCAGGTCGTGGGAAGGCCAGGCAGCGGTGGGATCGGAGGGCCGTGTGGAAACCCAGCCCCGCCGCTTCCTGCTGAGGGACCTGCAAGTGACGGAAACTCTCTGGCCTCAGTGTCTGTCTTTAAATGGAGTAAATACCTCACAGGGATGTGAGCACAGAATGAGATGTCCCTAGTAAAGCATGATAGGAGAGAGCATACAGTAAGCACCCAATAAATGCTACCTGTTATTATTCACCTTTAAAATTTTGACTTTACATTCATTTAGATTTTCTCCCTCATGAAAGCCCACTAAAAAAAACAAGAGTAAAATCTCGTTTTGTTTCGTTGCTTATGCATAAACCTCCAAGAGCAAGCGGAGTATGAGAGGAGACTAGAGACCACACCAACAAGCCGAAAGCAAGTGAGCGGGAGATGACGGCTCAGCAGATCCAAGAAGCCAAGCCTGCACTGGCAGCCAGGGAAGCTGAGGAGCCCCTGGGTCACACCACAGTATCCCCAGGGCTGCAGAACCAGGAAACTCAAGAAGTAGGGGTGAAGGTGGGGCTAAACGCAGGATCTGTCAGAGGGTCTACTTAAGAAATAATTCATTCCCAGAATTCGCTTCTATATCCCCAGCCTTGAGGTGTCTGCCCCTCCACAACTGTGGCAAAAAACTGGAGGAATGTTCTCTGGATTGGGGATGCTCAGAATGGGGATGCCAGGCCCCACTGATGATGAGGGACCATGTGGAAATTAGGAAGATTAAGTTAACCCCGCTGGATGTTGAGATTTCCAGCCTTTGTTCAATATGTTCCTCCAAGGGTGATGTCAACTAGATGCATAATTTCCAGGTAGGAATTAGGAGAATCTTCCCTGGACCTCCAACCAGCCCTCAAGAAAAGACCTGGACACATTAACACTGGGGATTCCCTAGGAGATGGCTCACCCACATCCTCCAACTTTAGGTACCAAAGTAGACAAGGTCACCCAGGTGTCAAAGACTCCAGCTGTTGAGTGTCCCACCCTTAAATATGAAAAGACTGCCAGGTGTCAACAGATATTCAAGGAAAGCATCTAATATTAGATAAACATCTAATATTAAATAAACAGAAAAAGCATTTTGGAATAAACAGGATATTCAGGGAGAAGAAAACTTTTTAAAAAACCCTATAACTAATATCCGCAGAAGGATAAACAAGATACAATAATAAAGGAATATTTAGAGACCAAAATAAGAGCTATAGAAAATTACAAGTAAAGTAGCAGATACGGTAAACTTAGTAGAAAGTTTAGAAGATAAAGTTAAGGAATTCTCCCAGAAAGTAGGATAAGAAGACAACAGATAGAAAAAGAAAATTAGATCAGGTACAACATTCAAATAACAGATTTCCGAAAAAGAGAAACAGAGAGAAAAAAAGAAAAAAAAACAGTGCGGAGGAAATCAAAGAAATAATTTAATATATTCCCCAATCTGAAGGACATGAGTTATGACGATGAAAGAGCTCCCAGTACAACAGATGAAGGCTCTGCACCAGGACACACTGAACACTGGGGATTAAGAGAAAACCCTAAACTTGCAGTTGGCAGGGATAGCACAAACAGGCTTCCTACAAGAAATCAGAATGGCACTGGACTTCTCAAAAGTACCTACGGAAGCTTGTAGACAATGGAGCAAGGTCTTTGAAACCTGGAATTAGATATCCAACAAAACTATCACATTCAAAAATGTTTCAGACACGAAAGGTTCTAAAGATTTCCCTCCCATGTACTCCACCAAGATAAGGTTGTAAACTAAGAATCGGGGTACAGGAAACAGGGAATCTAGAACAAATGAGAGGTAAAAGGACTCCAGCATGATGGCAAAGGGGGATACCAGGATAAGAGCTGTAACAAAACTAGAAAGCAACCAGTCCAGACTGGAACAGGTTGCAAAGCCCTTGGCGTAAGCTCTTCTAAGAAGCTGAAATATGTTTCAACTTATTGCTAAAAGAATCAGAGAATTTGGGGGTTAATTAGTGGTATGAACATAGAATGCATAAAAAATAAGAGAATTCTTTTCTTCAGGGAAAATGAAAAGTTGTGCAGGAAAGGAAAAGGGAAAAACCCAAATGTAAAGAACACTTAGGTAAAAAATAATTAATTAATTTGAAAGAGCACTTATGTAGTCATAACAATATAAACCCTGTTCTAACCAAAATTGGGCCATAGTTCTGTTGTGAGCGTGGACGGAAAGCATGTGTGTTACATAGCAGCCGCAGAGCAGGAAAGCACCCACTCGTCACTATCTACCGTGAGGAGTCAAAAAGTAATGTCTAAAGGTGACCAATCAAGAAGTGGCAATATAAACATGTTGTTTATTTATTTATGTTTGCCCTTCCTAAGCCCAGGATAAACATGTTATTTAGAAATCTGATTGTAAATATCAAAAGAATCAATTGAAAGGGAGCTGAAAGTAGGGGGCAGGTATGGGAGAAATCAGTAATGGATGTTTTTTGAATAAGCCTTTTTGTACCATTTGATTCTTTATATGCATGTAACGTTTTGATAAAAACAGAAAACAAATTAACAAAAAAGAAAACCTATATTCTTAAAACTTCAGAAAGGTCAAACATTAAGATTTTTTCTTTTAAAGCAAACTCTAAAAGTATAAAGGTAAGAAACAGGTTAGAAAATGGTAAGATAAAAAACAGTGATGAGACATCCTACAAAGAATAGATTTCTGCATCCCCGAAATCAGTGTTGACAAAGTTCTTAATCTGTCATGTGTTGCAAACCATGACCTACAATAGTTTGCAGGTTATAGTTCAGCCTTCTTACAAACCATCCCTCATCTAAGAGGAACATTCAAAATATTACCTTAGATTAGAAGACAAAAAAGAGAAAAAAAATTGGAATCTCACCTGCCACCTTTTCCTGCAGCTGCAATGGCTTCCTGTGCAAGTTGCAAAGCAGTTTCCTCACTGTACCAGAACTGGCTCAACTGCTGTAACAGAGGAATGGGTGGATGGCATTTCAGAATTGGCATAAACTTAGTTCTTTTAATTTATACCTACTATACCAATTAGCATACATTTAAATTTTTTTCTTTTTCTTTTGAAAATTAATTTTTCTTTGAAATTATTTTAAATTAATATAAGCCCCTAATGCATTAAAGGGATCTAGGCATTGAGTCTCAATGGCTGCTAACATCACAGGAGACAACCAGTCAATACTTCTAATGGAAGAACAAACCCCACCTTTGTATGAGTCTTGCCCAAAAAACTGAATCTGAACCTGATTAAGCTTCTAGATTCAACAACCAGTAAACAGAATTACAACACACACAGAGGATGGAAGAATGTGTTAAACGACACCACAGGGATGCACTACGAGACTATGTTCCTTTTCCATGGCCTCATCTTTACCTTGTGCAGGTTTCCTGGATTCCTTGTTTTTCCCTCAGGGTAAGTTGTTTTCATCTCCCTCCTCTGTTTCATGCTGATTGATGATTTTCTTTAAATTTCTAGTGATCCTTAATTATCTATTCATATTCTTAGATTAAGGATGAGACAATTTCGATGGGAAAGTAGCTTGGTGTCCACCCCCGTCACGGAGGCCCATTTCTCTGACAGGCCTCTCTGCCCTGAACAGCAGGGCGGAGCAGGCCAGTGCATGGGGCACGCACACTGGGGATTCTCTTTTTTAAAAATCTGCCCCCAGTGTGGAAACAACCCAAATGCCCATCAACTGATGAATAAATAGACAAAATATGGTCTATCCATACAATAAAATATTATTTGGCCCTAAAAAGGAATAAGGTACTGATAACATGTTACAACATGGATGAACCTTGGAAACATATGCTAAGTGAAAGAAATCAGACACAAAAGGCCACATATTATATGATGCCATTTATATGAAATCTCTAAAACATGCAAATCTATAGAGCCAGAAAGTAGATGAGTGGTTGCCCGGGGCTAGGAAACAGGGGAATTAGGAGGTGACAGCTGAAGGGTATAGGGTTTCTTTTTCAGGCAATGAAAATGTTCTAAAACTGACTATGTTGATAGTTGCACCTACCTGTGAATAGACTAAAAACCACTGAATACTTTAAAAGGGTGAACTGTATGGTGTGTGAATTACTTCCCCACAAAGCTGAAATCTGCTCAAATAAGGAGAGTTTTACTCTGAGTATGGATGACTTTAGCATACTTCCCTCCTGAATAGAGTTCTTTTTTCCTTTTTCTTTGTCTATGGTGGCACCTGGAGTTATATTCTATTCTGTTCTGTGTCTCTTTCAGGCTTTTCTACCCTAATTAGGGCATTCCCAAAGCAGATTCTCCGCTGTTTAGTGAGAAATCCTCTGGGATTCAGCCTGCAGGCGAGAACCTCAGATGCTGTTTGACTTCTGGATATGATTACAAGGGAAAGACACCAACTGGCCCAACTATGTTAACCCTTTAATTAACCCCACAGAAATCGGCCCTGCGCCACTTTTACCCTTCTGCTCACAGGCTCTGAGTTTGGAACCCAGAGTCTCTGTGGTTCTCCACTGGAAGAAAGGCTCTCGTCTTTGCCGCAGCTCTCACCCGGGCTGGCAGTTTTCTCTGTTCCCTCAAACATCTTTCTTTCTTCCAGAAATCTCTCAAAATTTCTGGTTAGTCCTTGGCATCCTTTCTTCCTTCATTGTTTTCTAGTATTGTAATAATTTTTTAGACATCTTTACAATTTATTCAATGGGAAGGAAAAGTGCTAAGTCATATGGCCAGTCCACCATCTTGAATCAGAAAGCCTAAGTAATATTTTTTTTTAAATCTCACTTAGTAGATACATACCAAACAAGTAGATGCACCTTCAGACTTACCTTGTAACCTACTTTTGAAAGACATCACAGCTGAGCTTTATTAAATAAAATTAAGAAACTTTACACTTGACCTTTTTTTTTGTTATTGCAGAATTTAATTATTCTCCTTTGACAGTGATTTAGGATTTTCCAGTTTTCAGTATTACAAACATGCTATAATGAATATCCTTTATATTCCTATTTGTGTACATATGCTTATGGAATTCCATATATGCACTTGAAGGGTATACGCATTTAATATTTTGGTAGATATTGCCCAAATTGCTCTCCAAAAAGGCTGGACCAATCTAAATTACTACCAAAAAAGTTTTACTGTTTTAATTTGCATTTCCTATTGGTGTAGTCGAGCATCTTTTGATGTGTTTAATGATTCTTTTTTTTTTTTTTTTTGTCTTTTTTTCTTTTTTCGTGACCGGCAACGGATCGCAACCCTCGGTGTTGCTCCCGCACCTCGCTCAGCCAGTGAGCGGCCAGTCTGTACGTGGGATCCGAACCCTCGGCGGGAGCGCCGCCGCACTTCCCAAGCGGCGCACTGTAGCAGTGCGCCACCGGGCCAGCCCTAATGATTCATTTTTATTTCTTCTTTTGTGAATTGTTGTTCCTAGCCTTCCCTATCTTTTTGTTGGGTTGTTTGTTTTCTCATTGATTTGTAAAAATTCTTTATATAGTCTATGAAAAAGAAAAATGCCAGATGTCATGCAAACCTAGCTTACAACTAGTACCAAGGCCCAGGTGTTTTCTACGTAGCAGAAACTATTTCAGGAAACACCAATATTAGAGTTATTCCTGACTGTGATGGAGCAAGCCAAAAATATGAGCTCTCCATGATCACGTCTGAGCACAGATAAAACCAGAACACTGTGCTAATCGCAAAAATGACCAAGTGTCCCCCTTTCCCAGCTAACATGAGGGCCTGCTGGTGCTTTACCAATGACAGCTTTTGTTCCATTCAATTCCTCCTGCCTCCTAGATGACAATTAAGACGCCCAGTCACAGAATTGCCTGGCTTTCTGACAGAACCTGCCCAACACCTAACATAAGCCCGATTCACAAGACCATTTCCTGTCACCCTCGCCTGCATTGTCCTGCGGGCTTCCCTCAGCGCACAGTCCGAGTCTCTCCTGTGGCAACAAGAGACCTGGCTCTGCCTGCAGTGTGTTTCCTGGAATGTTTGGTGGTGGGCACAGACACCTGGATGTTCCTCCTTTGCTCTCATGCATGAAACAGATACTTTCTCCTTGGCTTTCTCTGGTTTCTGAACCTTGTTTATGGTACCTTCTGGTATCAATAAGTTTCTAATTTTATACTGTCAGTTTCATCAGTCTTCTCGTTTATGACTCCTTAGCTTTGTGACTTGTTTTCCTACCTTAGATCATAAACTACCCTATATTTTCTTTTAATGCTATTATTATTTTTATGCTTAGCTCTTTAATCCATCTGGACTTTATTTTTGTGTATGGAGAATGAGGACTGAAGTTTTTTCCAAATCTAGGATACTCCAGGACTTAGTTCACACCTGTCACTTTCTCTGGGCGGCTTTCCTCAACAATCTGGGTGAGGAGTCCTTGCTTCTTGTTCCCATAGCACACACCACAACAAGCAGCGCTTCTAAGAATAGTTTGCTTGAGAGCAAGGGCAATGCTTTATCCATTGTTGTACTATACTTGACCTTTCAAAAGGTTATCGGGAAGGTGTTACTAACGTGTAGTGGCTCTAAATCACCCAAAACCAGACAGCCTTCAAAATGTCGACAATTAGAATAAGGTTTTATTCAAAATCACAAATGGTAGGAATGAAAATACAAGCAAATCTTTAAATCGGTATTTACTGAATATAATGAAAAACAGGATTGTTTCAAATATTTCCCATCTGGATGTCTGCATGGTATTTATTGAATATTTACTCCTAAGTCCATGTTTTAAGATGCTTCTAAAAACAATTGGATATATGTATCTCTGAATTCATGTCTATCTCTTTGTGTCTAAGTCTCTGTGACTCCATCTGTACGTCTCTGTGTCTGTGTCTACATGTCTGTCTGTCTGTGTCTATATCTGTCCATTCTTAGCTACAAGAAAAATGCCACGCTCTGACCTCTGTCTCTTGCTTAGGACAGCTGGAGGAGGGGCCCGGCGTGCGCAGCAAGTGGGGCCCCGGCCTCACTCCAACACCGTATGTCAGGGCACAATGATGTGTTTTGACTCTCCTCATGTCACTCCATAAAAATAAAATTTCCTACTCCTAATCAAAGCCAAAAGGGCTCCCAGGCTCACAGTGAAGAACGACCGACCGTCTGCTATCCCACGTCGCCCGGCCACTGAGCCCCACCCCTCAGAAGCAACATCTTCAACTCTTGGCTCTTCCTTTGACCATTTACCCTTGTATCTCTAAATAATAAGTGCTACCTCTTGATTAATCTACTTTATAGATTATGGATTTGTTATGATAGATGGGGACTTTGCTCTCCCACACACCCTTCCCCTTTCCTTCACCCTCCCCATGAGGGTAACCTGAGCTGTGGACAGTTCGACTGAGTCCTCAGTGCTCACTGCTGCGCTGAGTAATGAGTAACGAGCCGAGTAACAAGTAACGAGTAACAAGCCAAGGGTAACGAGTAACATACTGTGATTGTGTCTCTTCCCAGTGCCATGCTCTTTTGTTTTTCCTAGAGCTAATACATGCATGATTGTTTCATGTGCCCGGTGTCTTTTGTACTTATCCCCAATTCTCCCAACATCCTCTACGAGCTTTTCAATACAATTTCCTACATATCAGATCCTGCGTCACTATTATTTTTTTCCCCTGAAGCTCTCTGTCCTGGAACAGGCCATCCTCCTGAGATGACAGGGACCAAGTGCTCCACAGGCTGCACACAGCCGTTACACCAGGGCTCTGTGCCCCGCCATCCTGGTGATGCCCTCTCCCGCTCCACGCCTCGGATCTCCTGTCCCCTGGAGCTCACGTCTTCTTCTTTCTTAGTTTACTTCTCATTTGCTGGAGTAGATCGTCCTGCAGCTCCAAAGAAGTGCCTGGGAGGGAAATGTTGTGAGGCTGCCATGTCTAAAATGTTTTTATTTTATCCTCACACTTGACTGATGGCTTAGCTGAGTATAGAATTCAAGGCTGAACAAAATTCCCACTCCAATTACTGAAGGCATTGCTCCACTTTTTTCTAATTTCTAATAAAGCTGTTGAAAAGTGCCAGTGACTTGAAGTCCTGAGACGTTGCACATGAACTGCTTTTCCTCTAGAAGGTTCTAGGACCTTTGTCACTCATATCCAGAATTTTCACAATTGTCATAATTAAGTGTCCTAGTGAGTCTTCGGCTCTGGGAAATTTCTAATATTATTCTTTGAAGATTTCCTTCCCTCTTTGTTTTTTGTTCTGCTTTTCTGGAACTCCTATTAGCTGAATGTTGAGCCTCCTGAGTTTACCCCCCAGTTTTCTAATATTTTCTTTCCTATACTTCATAGGATTGTCATTTTTTTCTACTTCCTGGGAGATTTCCTCAATTTTATAAACACACCAAAGTGTCAAAATTAGAAAAGTAGTTAATTCTTTTTTTTTTTTTCCTTTTTGTCTTTTTTCGTGACCGGCAACGGATCGCAACCCTCAGTGTCGCGTCCGTACTGGACCAGGACCAGCAACGGGATCGCAACCCTTGGTGTTGCTCCTGCACCTCGCTCAGCCAGTGAGCGGCCGGTCTGTATGTGGGATCTGAACCCTCGGCGGGAGCGCCGCCGCACTTCCCAAGCAGCGCACTGTAGCAGTGCGCCACCGGGCCGGCCCACATAGTATTTTTTAAATCAAGCAGAAGGAAAAAAGAAGAGACAGACCACTTCAAAAACAACACAGTACTTTAATTTTCTGTAGATATTATCTACAGAATCGTCAAGCTAGAAGGTAAAAATACATAAAGAAGGCAAACAGTGAGAAAAACACTTCAGAATATGTAGCATAAATGGAGAGAAACTTTTTTTTTATCACACAGTTTCAAACAGAGGGTAATAGGAAATTTTTATATAACTCAGAAATCCAAACAGGACACAAAATGTAAAAGACTGTTTAAAAAAAAAGTTTTAAAAAGATAAGCATACAAAATCTTCCTTCCAGTTGCAAAGTGATGTATCAAGGGGTAGTCACTGACAAACTTCAAATCTTGCCTGGGCCGGCCTGGTGGCGCACTGCTATAGTGCGCCGCTTGGGAGCGCGGCGGTGCTCCCGCCAAGGGTTCGGATCCCACATACAGACCGGTTCCCGCTCACTGGCTGAGCGAGATGCAGGTGCAACACTGAGGGTTGTGATCCCGTTGCCAGTCCCGGTCCGGTACAGATGCGACACTGAGGGTTGCGATCCATTGCCAGACACGAAAAAAGACAAAAAGGAAAAAAAAAAAAAACTATGGTTTTCAATAGGTAGCTTTATGTTCACACTGCTCTTTCAAACTTGCCTGTTTCTTGACGATCTCCCTCAAAAAACTTAAATTTCTAGGTTCCAACTTATGTTAGGAGGTTCCCTCAACCTCAGCTCATTTTTTTGTTTGTTTTGAGCTATAAGAATACAATTATAATGTATATTCTACACCAGAAACTATAAATACCTTACAAATTTCCTCATCAGTTTTTTTTTTTTTCTTTTCCTTTTTGTCTTTTTTTTACTGACCGGTAACGGGATCGCAACCCTCGGTGTTGCGCCCGCACCGCACTCAACCAGTGAGCGGGAACTGGTCTCCACGTGGGATCCGAACCCTCAGCGGGAGCGTCGCCGCGCTCCCAAGCGGCGCACTCTCCAGTGCGCCACGGGGCCGGCCCTCCTCATCAGTTTTTCATTACACATTAAAGTTCAGTCATCCATTTACTGCAATGTTTTTTTCGCTGTCCACCAGGATTACTGGACTCCATAAAAACAATAGGGTGTATCTCTACCTAAGAACGAAGCACACGTCTGTGCTGGACATAAGGATGTATCGTCCCTCCATCTGACAGAACCAGGAGATTCTGCACTTACACTGTCCTACAATGTTCACAGACTGCTCTCTGATCAGCCCGTGTGACAGGTGATACAGATTTTGGTATGAGATGGGGCACAAACACAGATGAAGGCACAGGAGAGGCTCCATGCCAGTGCTTCCTGAGGGACGTGGGGGCATTTACTTACCCAGTTCTCTTCTATGATTCCAACGTGGTATTTATCGTCACCCTCTGGGTCAATTCGTTGCTTCTGCTCTGCATAAAATTCCTGGAGTGCTGCTAAGGTGTGCGTGGAAAGCTGGGGAGTCTCCCCACCTTCTGAGTCGCTCATGTCACAAATTGTCTATAACCTGCAGGTCAAAGAGTGAATGTGTTGTGTGGATTTTGTTTCCCTTTCCCATCACACAACAATTCTTTATCTCACAGCAAGGATCCAAACTGAAGTAAGGTTTGTACAGGAAATGTACATATTTAAAACTTCTGAGATCAAACACCTACAGAGGGCATCTACTGAAGTATACTTCAACAAATACAAGCTTTTCCTTTAAATGGGTTCAGTTTTTACAGATGATGTTTTCATATTTTTATGGTCCCTTACAGAAGGAAATGTTTACTGTAAATATCTAAAGACATTTTGCTTTCTTCTGGCACCCCAATAGCCACATGCAGACATTTCATAGTACATTCTCTGAATCAGAGATCTTTTTATGCTTGAATGTCCCTGTTCAGGTGAACTAAGGCTCATGGGCATTACTGGTGGATGTGAGGGATCAATAAAAAAGGGTATAGAAAGAGCTAGAAAAGTAAAAGGGGGGATGAGGAGAAAGGGAAGAGGGAGAGCAAAATGGAGCGAGAGAGAAAAGGAAGGTGTTTTGTGGAAACAGATGGCCAGGCATGATTACTTCTTGGGGTACCATTCAGAGTTTGCCAACTGTGAGGTTAAGGCACAGTCCTCCAGCCTGGCCACATCTGACCAGACTCCTAAAAACAGTCGCAGTTTCAGGGGTGTCCCCAAGCCACACGCATGTTCAATAATTTGCTAGAAAGACTCACAGAACTCAATGACAGCAATTATGCTCACACAGTTACATTTATTACAGGAAAAGGACACAAATTAGAAGCAGCTGTGGACTGAAATCACGGCTGTTGAGGCAGAAATAATTGTATAAAGGTTTACTGAAAGCCAAGCCTGAGCCAGATGCCAAAAAAAAAAAAAAAAAAAAAAACAAAAAGAAACAAAAAAGCCACGCTTGAGGATCAGTCTGGGAAAGGAAGGCAGAAGCCGGCGGAGGAGGACAGGGCTCCGCAGCCTGCTGCAAGCAGGGATGTTTCATAAGGAGCTTCAAAGGGAGCTTTCAAAACGGAGGGGAAGTTCCGAGTACAGGTGTCTTTTTCTCACCGAACACAAGACTCACAGTCACCGGTTACTGATCACGACATGGAAACAAAAAGCGTCTGCGTGCAGCCTAAAGCTTCATGCTTCAGCTATTCTTAACAGTATCTAAACGTCTTATTTGGAACCAGCAGGTTATACATTAATTAATAAATCAGCAGTTCTAACCACATACGTTGTATATCTTAAGAACAAGATGCCAACATGGAGTTCATGAAACTTATCCCAAGGCAGTGAGTTTTGGGAAACCTGCTTCATTTTGATTATTTCCTTCACCACAGCCAGAGGAAGAGACAGAGAGAGGAGTCTACGAGGGTTCCAAACTGGAAGCTTCCATCATCCACAGTGCACTCTACCCTCGTGACATCGAAGTGTGACAACACGCATGGAGTGTCGCCAACCTGGGAAGCTCGCTCACCCAAGCTTCAGGCTCCAGTTTTTACTGAAGTTTCATTGTGTAGGCATGTCTGATGGAATGACTGCCCACCTGGCTAAAGTGAGCCTTCTGTGTGTTACAGCATAAGCTACCAGATGTGGTCTGAGGGGCTCACCGTAACACAGACACTCCTGTCACTTGGAAAATTCCAAGTGTTCACCCAGGAGCCAGGACAAAGGCAAGACCTCTCTTTGGATGAGGTCAAATTCCTTACCACACAAGTACCAAATACATTTCTCAACTAAAAGTTATCTAAGAGCAAAAAACAGCATCTCATTTGCTTTTTTATTTTTATTTTATTTATTTATTTTTCCTTTTTGTCTTTTTTTGTGACCAGCAACGGATCGCAACCCTCAGTGTCAGGCCTGTACTGGAACAGGACCGGCAACGGGATCGCAACCCTCGGTGTTGCGCCCGCACCTCGCTCAGCCAGTGAGCAGCGGGTCTGTATGTGGGATCCGAACCCTTGGCGGGAGCGCCACCGCGCTTCCCAAGCGGCACACTATAGCAGTGCGCCACCGGGCCGGCCCCCCCATTTGCTTTTTTAAATATTATGTCTATGTTTTACGGTAAGTGATGTGTTGAAAATCAGTAAAGATTGTTCAAGAGCTTCCTCCTGCTGCTCCCTTCCCCCTGGAAGGCCAGCGTGGCTGCCTCTGATGGATGGCATAGGGCCTGTGTGTGTAGAGGCTGGGAAAGCAGGGAGCAGAATGCGGGAAGTCCCCCGAGCTTGCCAGGAGCGTTCAAAAGATGCCGAGCAGACCTTCAAAATAAGAAACATCGGCTAGATGCTGCCTTTTTCTCCTTTTCAAAATCAGAGCTAGCCTTTCCACCTAAGATCTTTTACACAACAAAAACTTTGTATGTACCAATTACAACCCAAAGTATTTTCACTCAGTACAAATAGCTTGTTGCTAATGTCCTTCCTTCCTTCCCTCATCAAAGACTTATCTGTGTAAAACGTTGCTAATAAACATCTGGTCACACCAGTTAATCTAGAAATACAAATAAACCCTCTATTAACAAGCAGTCTCCCATCTAGGAAGGGAAGGAATGAAACACAATATGATTAGATTTATACAAATTCAAAAACAGATAAAACTAAACTATGTCGGTTAAGAAATAGATGGATTTTGTTACCAAAAACCTCCCCAAACAGAAAACACCAGGCTGAGACAATCCACTGGTGAATTCTATCAAACATTTAAAGAAGAAATGATAGTAATTTTATGTAAATACTTCCAGAAAGCAGAGGAGAAAGGAATACTTTCCAACTTGTTTTATGAAACCAGCATAAACCTGACATGAAAACTTGTCAACCATTTAAGAAAATAAAATTACAGACATGAACAAAAAGTCTTTATAATACATTAGCAAACTGAATACAACAATACATAAACAATATAATACATCTTGACCAATTATAGTTTATCTTAGGAAAAGAAGCATGATTTAACAGATAATAATATAGGGGTCAGGAAACTATGGCCCACAGGACAAGTCGGCCTGCAGCTTGCCTTTGTAAACAAAGTTGTATTGGAAAACAGCCATAATCTTTTGTATTGTCCATGGCTGCTTTTCTGGTAAGCTAATAATATTTACTATCTGACCCTTTACAGAAATAGTTTGCTGTCCCCGGGTTTAAAAGAATAAAAGAGAAAAGCCATATGATCATTGTTGGGAAAATATAGGAAAATGGTCAGGGCCCCTCAGATGTTCAGAATCTTGCCAAGCACTTGATGTAAATATCCACGTGCGCCCAGGTGTTCCTTGGTTATTATCTAATGTAATTGCGTATCAGCATCCAGGTGTCCTGGGTTATGGACTTAAGTATAAAGGACTAATGGCTCTGATACATGCCGCCACCCCCACTTCTCAGGCTGCTCCCGGAGGCCACTAGAGCGGCTGCTCCTAGCTCCAAATAAAGCCTATTAATTTTTTACTCACAGCTCCCAGGATCTTTTCCTATTACCTAGCTCGTGGGCCTGCGTGTGAAGGGTTTGTGACTTAGCCTGTACAACGGACTTGAGGGGTCTGTTAGCCCTAGCCCTAGCAATACAGTCATTTGCATGGGTATCGCAAAAGCATTTGACAAAAAAGTCAACATCCACTTACATTAAAAACCGAGCAAAGCAGGAATAGAAAGGAACTTCTTCAATCCAAAAAAGTACATCTACAAAAAACATAAAACTAATATTACACTTAATTTAACATTGTCCTGTGTTTCCAGACAATGGTTTTAAAAAACAAAAAAACCAGCATAAATATTGGAATAAAGAAATGTCCCTATTCATAGGAATGATTATTCAAGAAAACTGTAAGGAAAAACTATCCTCATCCAAGTGATCAAGGTCAATGTCAGTGGTGAAAAGTACTGTTGACAATTACATGTTAATTATGCCCTTATATGTTGTGAGGACAATGGCACCTCACCTCCATGGTCTTCCACCCAAAAAACCCATAACCATGGTCTCATCGGGAGAAAAACATAAGACAAATCCGAATTGAGAGATATTCTAAAAAATATCAGTCCAGTACTCGTCCAAACTGTCAGGTCATCAAAAACAAGGACAGTCTGAAAAACTGTCATAGCCAAGAGGAACCTATCAGGACAAGACAACTAAATATAACATGGCATCCTGGATGGGATCTTGTAACAGAAAAGGGATATTAGGTAAAAACTAAGGAGATGGGAATAAAATATGGACTTTGGTTAATAATAATGTATGAACATTGCTTAACTGTGGCAAATGTACCCCACTAACATAAGATGTTATAACAGGAAAACTGGATGTGGCGTTTCTAGGAACTCTCTGTGCTATCTTTGCAATTCTTCTGTTATTCTAAAACTATTCTAAAATTAACTTTTAAAAAATTCCTAAGGAAGCATCACCAACCTCAACAAGAACAAAAACTACTAAAACTAATATGTGAGTTTATTGAAGTTTCAGAGTATAAGGTTGTGATATTGTGAAAATGTATATTTTGTCTTTGTCTACACAACTCCTAACATCCTTAGACCCTCCAAAGTGATAAGTCATTCCATATACTAATGATGGCTGGCAGCCCTTAGGTAGCTTCAGGAAGGGGGCTGGTCACCAGAAAGACCAAGGCAATTCCAACCCCCAACCTCCCACGAGGGGCAAGGGGCTGAAGGTTGAGTTGATCACCACAGGCCAATGGTTTAATCAATCATGACTATATAATAAAGCTTCCATAAAAATCCAAGAGCTTCTGGGTAGCAAACACGTGGGGGTTTTCACTTCTATATGCCGGGAGGGTGGCACACCCCAACTCCACAGAGACACAAGCTCCTGAACTTGGGATCCTGCCAGACCTCTCCCTCTTTATCTTTTCATCTGGCTGTTTATTTGTATCCTTTAAAATATCCTTTATAATAAGGGTAATTAGAGGCGGGAGGGGGAGGGAGAGGGGAATGGGTAGAAATTGGACAAAGGTCATTAAGAATAATTATGATTTGTAACTACATATATGCTAGTAATATTGATTTGATCAACATATCTTAATGTTGAACCCCAAAAATATGTATAATCAATTTTGATTCAATAAAAAATTTTTTAAAAAATCCTTTATAATAAACACGTAAATGTGTTTCCCTGAATTCTGTGACCTGCTCAGCAAGTCAATCAAACCCAAGGAGGGGTTACAGGAACCTCAATTTATAGCCAGTCGGTCAGAAACCCAGGTAAAATAACGTGTAGCTTATGACTGGGATCAGAAGTGGGGCGGGGGGACAGTCTTGGGGACTGAGCCCTTAACCTGTGGGATCAGTCACTATCTCCAGATGGACTGTGTCAGAATTCAATTGGAGGACCCCCAGCTGGTATCTGCTGGGGAACTGGTTACTTGCTTGTTGGTGGGGAGAAATCTCCATACATTTGGTCACAAAAGTCCGTCTGTGTTGATAGTTGTTGCTAAGACTATAGGGAAAAGCACTTTGCTTGTGTGTGTGTGTGTTTTCCCACAAAGGTCAATATAGGAAAATTAATTGCACATCTGTATTTTAGCAGCAAATAAATGGAAATGAAATTTAAAGTAATTCCACATAGGGCTGACTCCGTGGCTCACTTGGGAGAGTGCGGTGCTGGGAGCGCAGCAGCGCTCCCGCCGCGGGTTCAGATACTATATAGGGATGGCCGGTGCGCTCACAGGCTGAGCGCGTTGTGGGTGACACCAAGCCAAGGGTTGCGATCCCCTTACTGGTCACAAAAAAAAACAAAAAAAAAAAAAAAAAGTAATTCCACATAAAACCGTGTAAAAATATTTTGGAATATTTAACAAAGATTTAGCATAATCTCTATACTGAAAACTACAAAGCACTGCTAAAAGGAAATTAAAGAAAATCTAAATAAAAAGAAAGATACACCATGTTCATGAACTGGAAGAACCAGTATTATTAAGGTGTCAATTCCCTCCAAATTGATGAATAGATTCTGCATAATCCCAAGCAGGCTTTGATAGTTAGTTAATAGAAATTGACATGCTGGTTCTAAAATTTATTTAACCATTCATCCATTGAAGGACTGTTACCAATTTTTAGCTATTATGAATGAAGCTACTATGAACATCTGTGTACAGGTTTTTTTTTTTCTGAATTAAAGTTTTATTTATATAAACATCCAACAAATCATGGCTTCTAAGCCATTTACCAGTATTTTAGCTAGCTTGTAATATCTTCAGTATAGGAAACAGATGGTCAAAATAAGAGTAGACAGATAAAACAAGTAAATCAAATTAACGGAAATACTTCATGCTGATGAGAATTGGTATACTCTCTAATTTAGGTAACAACTTAAATTGGCATAACTTTTGGAAAGAAATAATTTGGACATATATTATTTCTACATAAATATTTCTACTTTCTGTCCCAATTCTTATTCCTAAACTTTCTATTTTGAAATAATTATAGGTTCACAGAGTTGCCAAAACAATACACAAAGGTCCCACGTATCCTTGTCCTATTTTCCCCTAATAGTAACCACTTAGGTAACTATAGCACAATGTCAAAACCAGGAAATTGACACTGGACAATCCACAGAGCTCATTCAGAGTTCACTAGTTTTACACGCACTCATTTGTGTGTGTGTAGTTCTGTGTGATGCTATCCCATGTGCAGATTCGGGAAACCACTGCTACAGAGAAGATACAGAACATTCCAGCACCCCGGAGTTTCCTTGTACTACCCCTTAGTGTTGTGCCTGTCCTCCCCACCTCACCCTCCATTCCTATCTCCTGGAAAGCACTAATCTGTTCCATTTCAATAATTTTGTCACTTTCAGAATTTTATATAAATGGAATCACACATTATGTAATCAAAGATTAGCCTCTTTCACTCAGCATAGTTCAAAATTCATCCCAGTTACTGTATCAACAGTCCATTCCTTTTTATTGCTGAGTAATCCATGATATGGCTGCACATTCACCCACTAACCACATGTGGATTGTTTCCAATTTTAGCTATTAAAAATAGCGCTGCTGTGAACAAACATTTGTGTATAGGTTTTTGTGTGGACTTAAATTTCCATTTCTCTGGGATAAATGCTTAGGAGTAATGATGCTGGATTTTATGATAAGAGTATTTTTTTTTTTTTTTTTGTCTTTTTTTGTGTCCGGCAACGGATCGCAACCCTCAGTGTCGCGCCCGTACCGGACCGGGACCGGCAACGGGATCGCAACCCCCGGTGCTGCACCCGCACCTCGCTCAGCCAGTGAGCGGAAACCGGTCTGTATGTGGGATCCAAACCCTCGGCGCTCCCAAGCGGCACACTGTAGCAGTGCGCCACCGGGCCGGCCCCTGATAAGAGTATGTTTATTTTGAGAACATCAAAATAATTTATTTCGGGCCGGCCCGGTGGCGCAGTGCTACAGTGAGCCGCTTGAGAAGCGCGGCAGCACTCCCGCCGAGGGTTCGGATCCCACATACAGACCGGTTTCCGCTCACTGGCTGAGCGAGGTGCGGGTGCAGCACCGGGGGTTGCGATCCCGTTGCCGGTCCCGGTCCGGTACGGGCGCGACACTGAGGGTTGCGATCCGTTGCCGGTCACGAAAAAAAAAAAAGACAAAAAGGAAAATAATTTATTTCATAATGATGACATAAAAGACGATCTCTTCAAATTAAGAACTGAATTCCTGTAATATGAGCTTCACTATGGCCAGTGAGGTGAGGATTCCCTTTGCAATCATGTAGATTGTTTTAGAATGTCTATTTAAGTAAAATGTGCAAATTTAAAAACACCTTTACTAAGATATAATTCATATACCATACAGTTATCCATTTAAAGTGTATGATTCAATGACTTTTAGTATATTCAGAGTTGTGCAACCATCGCTACGATCAAATTTTAGAACATTTTCATCTCACCTGAAAGAAACCCTGAACTCACAGGTAGTTAATTCCTGTTTCCCCACCCACACTGAGCTCCAGGCTACCACTGATCTACTTTCTGTCTCTGTACATTTGTTTATTCTGCACATAACATCCTATACACAAATGGAATTGTACAATATGTGGTCTTTTGTGAATGGTTCTATGTTTAGTTTTCTAAGACACTGCAACTGCCAAGCCTTTTTCTTGAATACCTACAGTTCTACATTCCTACCAGCAACATATCAGAGATCAAGTTTCTTTGGTATTCGTTATTTTAATTGTTTCAATAGGTGTGTAATTTTATCTCATGATAGTTTTAATTTGCATTTCCTGAGTACTTAATGATGTTGAATATGTTTTCATATGTGATTTGCCATCCATTTTTACTCTTTGAGTTTTGAGATGTTCTTATGCAGTTTTATACATATTCTAGCTATGAGTACCTTTGTCAGTTAGCTTTCAAATATTTTCTCCCAATCTTGTCTTTTCAGCCTCTTCACAGGTTCTTTTGCAGAGCAAAAGTTTTTAATTTTAGTGAAGTTCAACATATCAATGTTTCCTTTCATGGATCTCGCTTTTTGGTACCGTTTAAGGAGTCACCAAGCCCTAGTCCCAAAGAACTTCTATGTAAAATTTCTTCTAGATGTTTTAGAGTTTTACATTTTACATTTAAATCTATGATGCATTTTGAATTAGTTAATTTTTACATAGGTGTAAATTTTAGGTCAGGTTCTTTTTTTCTTTTTTTTCTTGTCTATAGATGTTTGATTGCCCCAGTGTCATTT